AATGGTTAAGAGAGGCCCATGATACAAAATCATTCAGAGGGTTTTAGAACCATTAAAGGGTATATTTTTTTTTTGCCAAACAAGATTCACCTCTTAGCGATTCAGAGACTGCCCTTAATGGAAGTATTAAGAGGTAAACAAACAACCCCTTACTCAACGATATTGAATAACATAAATTAATTTAAGATGAGGAAAACCATATTTTGATATCAGATAAAATGTTATAAAAATCATTTAATTCGAAAATATTATAAGAATTATTATAATATTTCCAACAGATTGTTTAAAATAAAATAAAAACATGAGATTTTGCTGATATTTGTATTTTAAATCAACGTATTTTTAACTGGTTCTCTGACAGATCCTAAACGTATCTTCAACAAATTTTTCAAAATGGAGATTTTGAGTATTTTTCTCCAACAGATTCTACAAAATTAAGAAAATAGGAGAGAGAATCTGAAATCCTCAAATCTGAAAAACTCTCCAAAAATGATTATTTAGGAAAGAGAAATGATTTTTTTTATTATTTCCGACAATGAGAATCTATGAAATTAAATGTTTAGAAGAGAAAGACAATATTTTTTTTAACCACAAGTGTGGTGCCTGATTGGTTTGAATTTGGCTCCAAAGGTTAAAAGTACCAGGAGGTCTCCGGTTCAAATCCAATAAGGAATAAAAATCCCTTTGTGGCCATGGAGGTTCAAATGCGGTGACTCCGGGCTATCTGCAAAGCAGGTGGTCGCCCAGAGATTAGTCGGCTCGCATAGTGGATTGGATATCCAGGTTAATAAAAAAACAGTATTTTATGGATCGTATTAAATATTTTATGATATAATTCATATTGTAATCTTCAAAATAGAGAAACTGTAGCAGATTGATGTATTTTTTCCTCGAAAATTTTGACTTTTAATTCTTCATTTTAAAGAATCTACTGGAGATGCTTTAATAAATTAAGAGCATTCTCTAAAATTTAATGAGGAAAGAGAAATAATATTTAATACTAAATTGATTTTTAATTATTTTCCAAAAATGATTTAATGTGAGTATTATTTTATATAAAAAAATTAAAAATATAATGAGATAATAAATTTATATAAAATTTTAATAATATAATTAATATTGAAATCCTCACAATAGAGAATCTGTTAGAGTTGACTGTAATTTTTACAGATATTTTAATTGTTAATTCTCTGTATTATAAAAATTACAGATATCATGTTGAAGATACTCTCATACTTTCAAAACCGTTGTAGAACTTATGCAATGCCGTTAGCATCTTACATTTGATTAAAATCATCCAAAATAATCAGTTTTCAAAAACAGCGTGATTATAACAGATAAACAACTACCTCAAAATGACAAATTTTAAACAAAATAATATAAGTTATTTTTATTACATTTACAGATAATTGTCTTATTTTTATAGCGTTTACAGGTATAAATCATCTACTGTCAGGTAAAACATAAGGGAAATTGACCAAAATAGTCAATCTACTCAACCAAATTCAAATTTTAGTCACTTTTGGAATCGAATTCCCATTTAAACCAGACTTTTACGTAAAAACCTATCTGTAGATCTTAAAAAAACTACTTTTTTTTAACGCAAATGTGGATCCTTACGTAGATATTCTTTTTCTTTTTTTAATCTGAAAATAGAGTCTACGTATAAACTCTGATCAAAAGGGAAATTCAATTAAAAAGTGACTGAAATAAATTTGGTTAAACAGATTTAACTATTTTTATCCATTTCCCAAGACATAAGCTTATGGCAAAAGACGAAGTAGGAGTCGACAAGGGATGGTGTGGATCGCCCCCAGGGGAAGATCCGGGGTTAGATGGGGGCGATCCCACTTCTCAAGCCAAACCAGTGTTTGTCTCCTAAATCAGATACATGTGGACCCCACAAATTAATTAAAATTATTTTTTTATACTTTTTTTTGTCAAACATGCTGTGGATCGCCCCCATGGTCAAACATGGTGTGGATCGCCCCCATGGTCAAACATGTCCCCCGGGGACGATCCTATTGGCTAATTTGGTAAAACCTGAAGGGAAAAAAAGACTATTTTGTTAATATATGATGTATATTTTGATGAAAATCCCTAAAAAAAAAAGCACTAAAATATGAAGACCAAAAACATTATTAATATTATCCATCAAATTTTTTTCAAATATCATATTTTAAATATTAAAAAAATATATAAATAAATGATGAAAGAAAAACCTAAAATATAAAGAACAAAGTATTATTATACTATATATCAAAAGTTCCTCCCAATATTTATGATCAGATTCTTTTTATTAGAATATTACAAAAATTTATGTAAATGACTTAACAGGTTGTTAAGCTTGTATGGTTTATTTGGGCAGTCATATATTGTTGTTTGTTTTTGTTTTATACAGTCAGTCACAGAAGTAGGGTCCTATAGACTCAGTCATTTATGCATCCCCTTATTCCAAATATGTCTCTTTTCACAGTTTTAGAACCCCAAAAATCCACGCTTCGTTCGATCTCATTTCTCTCCTTCATCTCCATCGATCTATTGTTGGCTCCTGCCATCGATCAACGAGTAACAACAGTGGTGGAGAGCAGATGACAACAGGGCAACGAAGAGAGGGGAATGGGAACACTGGCGTTGGTGCGAATGGCATAGATGTAGTAACGGTAACACTTTTGGGATTAAAAGGACCAGGATAACTAATTTTCTAAAAGTTCCATTGGTTTCTTATTCAAAAATTTTTAAAAAAAATCAGGGATTTAATAATTTAAAATGGAAAATTTCAATGATTTATTTATTCAAAAAGAAAAATTCAAGTAGTTAAATATTTAAAATGAAGGAATTCTTGAGTTTTTCTTAACTTTAAAAAAAAAAGGTGGGCTGAATTAACCTTTATATATTGCTAAATACACATCTACCTATTAATGTTTTATTCATATACATCAACATTCAAAACCATTTTTTTCCACTTGAAACTTTACAGCAGAACGTTGTGAAAGTAACATTCACAGTGTTTTTGCTGTGAAAGTTTGACTTTTTTTTTACTTTCACAATGTTTTACTGTGAAGTTTCAAGTGTAAAAAGTGGTCTCATGGGTTTCACGAAAACAAGCTGGTCCAGGGACGGACCTATGTTGGTGGTATAGGTGGCATGTGCCACAATATTATTCCTCTGTCGAAGGGTTAAAAAATTTAGGTTCGTGAAAGGTGCAACTGTTTTAATCTGTTTCGTATGTATTTTGAAACTACAATGAGAACAAGTTTTATTTAGTATAGTTGGTTTGTAAGGTTTTTATTCCACTTCAACCCAAGTTCGAATCCTGTTAGTGTCATTTTCATAGTCAAACGGTGCCACAGTTTGAATTGTTTTTTCTTATAGTCAAATGATGCCACCATTTGAAGAAAAAAAAATCCGGGTCCGTCCCGCTGGTCTGACGTGAACTCACTCTCTCTCTCTCTCTCTCTCTCTCTCGCTTTCTCTCTCTCTCTCTCTCTCTCTCTCTATATATATATATATATATATAGGTCTAATCAAATGACAACTAATTAGTTTGTGGTAAATGTGAGATCCAATCTCAACCACAAATCAATAGGTAAATTAAGAAATTTATAATTTTGATAATTTTGAATTAAAATTTTAATGCGAAGATATTTTTGGTATTTTAGAACTCTCCTCTCTCCTCTCTTTTCTCTCCGGCCACCGTCCTCTGGTGATACCACAATGGTATCACAATGCATCATATATGTGCTTGGGTATCACATTGAGGTCGTTTGTGTGATCGATCGGAGATGTAACACAGTGGTATCACAATGCATCTTATATATGATTGGATATCACAATGTATCTTTTGTTTAACAGAGTCAATATTTAGGTATCACAGTGGTATCACCGGATAATGGTGGCCGGAGGATGGTGGCTGGAGGACAGATGATGAAGAGAGAAGAGAGGAGAGAAAATACCTAACATGTCCTTCCATTAAAATTTTAATTCAAAATTACCAAAATTATAAATTTCCTAATTTATCTATTGATTTGTGGTTGAGATTGGATCTCACAGTTACAACAAACTATTCAGTTGTTCAATGGACCCATATATATATATATATATATATATATATATATATATATATATATATATATATGTGTGTGTGCAAACAAAGGAATCAATCAAAATCTTTTTTCTTCAAGACTCTTCAATCTTTATAATAGAGAGTTTATACTCTTCTACCATTTACAAAAAGTCCCTTGTAATCGGACAAGATTCTTCACATCCCACAAAAAGCCTTTGATACCCCCATTTGGCCATTTTCCATCATCACATCTCAAATGTACAACCCCTTTATGCTTATGGTACAACCCTTTTATGCTTTCCATATCTTTCTTTTCTTACCCAAAAAGAAACCCTATTTTTACTCTCTCTCTCCCCTCTTTCTCTCTCTAAAAAGGTGAAAAGAACAAAAAGAAACAATATAAAATAAAGAAAAAACTAAAATTAATTAAAAGTCATTTTCAGGTTTTATATTCATCTTTTAACGATTTCTCTCCCGGTATTTAAAAATGTCACTATCTCCGCATGTAGCAACTCTTTAAAAAGAAGTTTTTTTTTATTAATCTGGATATCCAACCCGCTATGCGAGCCGACTAATCCCAGGACGACCACCTGTTTTGCAAATAGCCCGAAGTCATTGCATTTGAACCTCTGTGGCCATAAGGAGATTTTTATTCCTCCTTGGATTTGAACCTGAGACCTTCATGTACTTTTAACCTTTGGAGCCAAGCTCAAACCAACCAAACACCACCCATGTGGTTAGGTCAAAAAGAAGTCTCTGAACATATGCAAGTACATAGAATAAATATGTAAATTAGTCCGAATACTTTCACAAGTAGTAACTTTATCTAATTTACAGATTTGGTCCATGTACTGTCAAATCATATTCGGAAACCAGTATTGTTTGTGGCAGATACTGATATTTTTAAAATTTTGAGAGAGAAACGGATAAGAAATGAATCAAAAGCGTTAAAATCGCTATTTCTATTAATTTCCATTAAAAAAAACCCATATTTTTTACCATCTCTCTCTCTCCTCTTTCTCTCTCTAAAAAAAAGTAAAAAAGAACAAAAAGAAACACTATGAAAGAAAGAAAAAGTCAGCAAGAAGAAACGCATATCATCCCATCATGCAAACGTCACCACCCCCATAAAAAGTCAACTTCCGCCGGCTGCGGTGGTGCTCGTGGTGGCGACGATCTTGTTCGACAGCCACGGGAAAGGTGGCGACGCCGTTGATGTCGTCGGAGTAACTGGGCCGACGAGCTCATCCAAGCCTTCAAAGAAGGTGTCGTCCATTTCCATTACCATATCGAAGTTGTCATCGTCGGTGTCGTTATCCTCCGCCTTCTCCGTCGCCGGAGACTGGCTGGCTGGCGGAGAAACCGGCGGAGATGAAGTGGGTTTGGTTTTGTTGGTGTCGACGTCGTCGCCGGAAGTTGTGGGTTTGTTTCTGGTGCTTCCAGCTAAAGAATTCCGGTGAGTCGGAACTGGGTGGCTGTGTTCGCCGGTGTAGGTGACGATGAACATATCCGGGTCGGATCTATTTCGCTCCACTTGTTTTCGGGCCAAACAACCCTTTGAAGTACTACATCTATAGTATCCTCTGTTCATCAAAATCGAAGAAATAAATTAATTTTTTTTAATTAATTAAATCAAGAAAAAGTTCAAGAAATTGATGAAACCCATTTTTACTCTCAAATTAAATTAAATTAAATATTAAAAAATTAAAAAAAACGAATTTTCCGTATCAAAAATATCCCAAAAGTTCAATCTTTTAAAACTTAAATAAAGAAAAATTATACGAAATTAATTTACCCATTTTTTATTTCAAATTAGAAAATAAATCTTGAAAAAAAAACCAAAATTCTCACCCATTTTTTGCTTTCAAATTACAATTTAAATATTAAACATATGAAAAATAATGGATAAAAACCCTTTTTCAGCATTTTTATATTCAATTAAATAAAGAAATTAATTTAATTTAAAATAATAAAAATAATAAATCAAGAAATTACAAACCTTGGATATGGAGAACCTTTGATGGGTTTTTGACCGTATTTTCTCCATGACCACACATCGGAAGATAATCCCTCAGCAGGCACTTGACAAACCCTTTTCATCTGATTTTTCCTGTAATTTAATTTAATTTAATTTAATTTCCAATTACTAAAAATCATTTATATAAATAAAAAATAATTAAAATATAATAAAAAGATTTAATTTTGGTTTAAAAAATAAAAGAAAATCGAATTTACTGCATGTGGATATGCCTCAAATCTCATATATATTTTCTGCAATATACCCTACAAATAAAGAAGAAAATGATTGCAATTTTCCCAATTTTTTTTAAAAAAACAAAAAAATTAAATTCCAAAAAATCTACAAAAACCCAGAAATTAAACAAGAAGAAGATGTCAGAAAGATCCTGTCTTTACCTTTTTTTAGACCTTGTACTTTGTGCATTAGAAGTTGTACATCTTGAAATACCGAAAGATTGCTGCTTTCCCTGAAGCTGTTTCAGCTGGTTGTGGTGGTGGTGGTGGTGGTGGTGGTGGTTGTTGGGTGGTGGATCTTGTAATCCTCCAAGAACAGACAGGGGTGAGATTGGTAAACTTTGTGGAGATGGGGGTGGTTTTTGTAGATTTGGAAACTCAAGGGGGTTGTTAAGATCATTCAACAAGTGTTCGATACTGTTGTTGTTTCTTGATTGAAATGGATCTGGAAAAAACCCCATGAAATTCTCATCAAGAAAACTTGATTTCGTTTGATTGTAAGCATCTACAGGCCAAGTTGGAGCCACTCCGGCGGCGGCGGCGGCGGAGGTGGAGGTGGTGGTGGTGGTGGAGGATGGAGCTGCGACGGAGGAAGAGGAGGAGGAGGCGGTGGAGCAACAAGCTCTGACCACCGCATGCAGGTCCCAATCCACCTCCATTGTTTGACTTTTCTAGAGAGAGAAACCAAGGCGCTGACTTTTGTTTAGAGAGAGAGAGAGTGGAAGAGATGTTGGGGGTTGAAATGGAAAAGGGTTTCAATATATAAATATATTTAAGAGAGAGAGGGAAAAGTACGGGCAGGAGAGAGAAAGTTACGGGCAGGAGAGAGAGTAAAGTGGGCAGAAGGGGAAAAAGAGGCAGCTGGCTTTTCACAAGAATCCTAGAGAGAGAAAGGGGGGTTTTAGAGAGAGAGAGAGCGCTTATCTTTTGCTTTATTTTTCTTTCTCTTTTTGTGAAATTACATTTTGGTACATGAAGTTTGAATATATATATTTATAAGGTTTGAATCTTAAACACAAAGTCAACATAACATGTTTTCGTTTTTGTTATCGGTTATCGACTTTAAAACAAGACTAATCTCGACAAATTGTAATTGTAAGACATCAGTCTTGATTAATTCGGTGGTCACAATTGTTGTGGACGTCTAGAATTGGACCTAGGTAGGCATGGCAAAGGGGCGGGGATGAGGCGAGTTTTCTGATCCCTGGCCCTGACCCCGGTTTCTATGAACACCCCACCCCGACCCCAATAGTCCCTGTACCCGGTTCATTTTCTGGTCAATACCTAATTTTAGAAAATAAATAATATACATATATTATATAAATATATATTAATAAAATTATTATACCAGGTACGGGATGGGTTGAGGGATACGCTACCCAGCCCCCGCCCCAACCCCGATTTAGGTCTACCGAGGATCTCCAGTCTCGGGACCCATTTTAGCGAGGAATCCCCGTTCAAGTCAGGTGAGTCGGGTTCCCCTCTGCGTCGGGGCAAATCACCATCCCTAAACCCAGGGCAAATGAGATTTCCGACCACATCCATCCCGGCCTCAACCATTACGCTACAACCGTTGTGATTTAGTGTATTTGTTATTGCTACTGAATAACCTCTTGCTTGTGAAAATGTTACATTTGGGAAGAACCTGTTGATTTTAAGCAAGTACGAGAATATCAGTAAGCAAACCAAATACAGTGTTACAAAAAAAAAATCACATTTTTGTTAGCTAAATACCCAAATGGATCACTAGACACTGGTCCACCAATCTCGGGTAGGGAATTCAAAGAATCCTTGAAAAAGGGAAATTTACAAATTATTATAATTGTTTGGGAGGAAAAATATTTGATTTACGGTTTTATATTAAGTAATTTACAAGTCATGGTTAATTAAGAACAGGTAAAAAGATTATAAAACAGGTCTGCGTACATCATCTGTCAGACTGTACTCTGTGGCAAGATATATATTGGGTTGCTTTTGGTTCGGTTTTCTGTTGGGGAGGTGGGAAGATCACACATCCACACCTACTAGTCTTCGTGTCACTGTCGTTGTCGCTCTCAATTTGTATATCAAAATCTTGGTGCAAAAAAACACGGTATATGTATCCTTCGATTATGAGTGGACTCTTTCAAGAAATTGTCCAGCTTTTCTTGATCTTTCTATATAAGTATCATGTGACTTCAGTTACGTTTTCTATATAAAAACCTAATGGGTAATATGTAATATAATCAAAGAGGCGAAATTTATGCTCGTCGGTGGCATGATATGACGTTTACAGACACTTGGCAGTTACAGACAACGGCCTTCTGTTTTATATTGAAAAAAAATCGGCGCAAATTACTTAAGGTATCATATAAAGAAATAATATCGTATCACATAAATCGAATTCATTACATAATGATGATCTTATCGTATACTGAAGGTAAAATACTGCGATTGTCTATTCAGTGTTTTGCAGGGTTAGAAATTGCAAGCTAAAGATGATGGGTCTTGTTGATTAAGACTTGGGATTGATCTGGGAGCTAGAGTGACTCGAAAATGTCCGTTAGAACTGTATTCAGTAAGAAAAAGTCGATCCGTGAACTCGAATAGGTCAAAAGTGTATATCGAAGCTATTTTTGATAAAGCAAGTTTCATTCCATTTGAGTTCGTATAAGATTCAAGCTCATTTTAGTATTACATGACGTTATGACGGTAGCAAAAGGAATTCCAAACTCAATCAAGTTAGAACTCGATAACAGTGGGAGTTAGAACTCGATAACAGTGGGGGTGAACATGGTACGATACCATGTTTTCCCCCATTACTGTGTATCAATCAACTATAACTGATACGAAAAATCCTAAACCGTGTACCAAACAACCTTACTTGGTACCAGCCTTTTTCAATTAATACATGTTGGTAGTGGTTTTGTACCAACATCGCAAAAGGGAAAAACTATATATATATATATATATATATAGTTTCAAGAAATTATGTGAAATTGTTTCATATAATACTTTTTTTGATGAATTCGTTTCATATATGGTTATGAAATTGTTTCATATAATATTTAATGAAATTTTAATGAAACTGTTTCATGTATTTCTCTAAAATTAAAATAATGAAGATGATAATATCCATGATTAACACCCTCTACAATAAAAATGGT